TAGACGTCTTCCTTTAAAAAACCATTTAAAAAAGCACATTTGACGTCCATCTGATAAAGTTTAAAACCCATAAATGCAGCAAATGCAATTAAAATACGAATTGCTTCTAATCTAGCTACAGGAGCGAAAGTCTCCTCAAAATCGATACCTTCCTGCTGATTGTAGCCTTTAACAACCAATCTTGCCTTGTTCCTTACAATTGTGCCATGTTCATCTAGCTTATTCCTGTATACCCATTTGAGACCAATAACCTTTTGATTTGTTGGTTTGGGTTCAAGGTGCCACACTTTGTTTCTTTCGAATTCATTTAATTCCTCTTGCATGGCAACAATCCAATCAGCATCTTCCAAGGCTTCTTTGTGATTTCGAGGTTCCAGTGTTGATAGGAAGGCGTTGAATGCACAAAAGTTTCTCAGTTGGGATCTCGTCTGAGTTCCCTTGCTTAGGTCACTTATAATTTTATCCAGGGGGTGTGACCTTTGATGTTTCCATGGCTTTGGTTGAAATGATTGAGCTGGTATAAAAGTGTTATTTTGAGTTGCTCTTTCTTCTATTTCTTCATGGTGTTCTGCTTCTTCATTTGCTTCGCCTTCTGTGTTTTTTGTTTCTTCTGTATTTTAAACAGAGGCTTCAGTATTATTTGGAACTTCAGTAGGTTCCTTATCAGTATTTTCAGTAATTCGAACAGGCTGCTTTCTGGGAATTAATTCTTCATCTTGGTATGTTGAACGAGTGAGACCAATTTCAAAATCTCCATCTTCATATTCCTGTATACAATCATAATTATTAGTTTCATCAAAAATCACATGTATACTTTCTTCTACACACATAGTCCTCTTATTGTAAACTCTATAAGCTTTACTATTAGATGCATATCCTAAAAAGACTGCTTCATCACTCCTTTCATCAAATTTTCCAAGATTTCTTTTATCATTATTGTGAACAAAGAATTTGAATCCAAAGGCTCTTAAATGAGCAATATTAGGTTTTCTCCCTTTTAACAGTTCATAAGGTGTCTTGTCCAACATTGGTCTGAGCATGGCTCGGTTGATGATATAGCATGCTGTGTTGACGGCTTCTGCCCAAAAATTCCCTGGAAGCCCACTTGCTATTAGCATTGTTCTTGCCATGTCTTCCAATGTTCGGTTCTTCCTCTCAACCACACCATTTTGTTGTGGTGTTCTTGGCGCTGAGAAATTGTGACTTATTCCCTGTTCCCTGCAAAATTCATCAAACTTGGAATTTTCGAATTCCGTACCATGGTCAGTTCTCATATGAATAAGTTGATTACCTATTGATTTTTGTGTCTTTTTTAAGAAATTCATAAACATATTAAAAGTTTCATCTTTACTATGTAAGAATATGACCCATGTAAATCTAGAATAATCATCCACAAGAACTAAGACATATCTTTTTCCACTTCTACTTTGAATTCTAACGGGGCCACACAAATCCATATGAATGAGTTCCAATGGTTTTGTGGTGCTTACCATTTTCTTTGATTTAAACGATGATCGAACATGCTTTCCTTTGATGCAGGCTTCACAAATTTTGTCATTTAGGAACTTGATAGAAGGTAGTCCGATTACCAAGTCCTTTGACCTTAATTTGTCAAGCAATGAAAGACTAGCATGTCCAAAACGTTTATGCCATAGAAGTGGATCATCCTCAATAACACTTAAACAAGATAGATTGTATTTTGGAACTTTGTTAAGGTCCACGGTATACGTGTTCCCTTTACGAGTTCCTTCCAAAACGATTTTTCCAGTGTTATTGTTGATGATTTTGCATTTTTCAGAAGAAAAGCTTACAGAGTTTCCTTTATCACAAAACTGAGAAATAATGAGTATATTATGCTTCAAACCCTCGACTAAAAATACATTGTCAATTGCATGGGAACTTGACCTTCCTACTTTGCCAACAGCAACAATGTTGCCTTTCTTATTGTCTCCAAAGGTCACTGTTCCCCCTGTATAGGCCGTCAGTGAGAGAAATCTGGATTCATCTCCTGTCATGTGCTTAGAACAACCGCTATCGAGGTACCACTGGTTGTTCCCCCTCACTGCGACCTGCAAAACAAATTAAGGGTTAGTAGCAGGAACCCTTTCATTCATGGGTTCCTGTGTTGACACATTTGAATCAGATTTCTTCTGCCAAACATAGTTCACATTCTTATTGTACTGTTTTGCTTTCTTAGTACATTCTTCACTGCGATGTTCTTGTTTACCACAAAATGAACAAACAGTCTCACTAGGCAAATCCACATACTTCTTTTTCTTTCCAGTAGACTTCTTCTTATGGACATAGCCTAGACCTTCTATTCTTTTTGTCTGAGCTTCCTTTACCCACTTGGGAACACCCGTGCTTGCTGTATTTTTACTTTTTCTTGCAATTTCTAGGTCCTTTTCTAGTTTCTCATTTTTATCATTAGTATCCTTTATCTTTTTCTTAACATGCTCTAGTTCATTATTAAAAATGATTAAAGGAACTTCAGTAGACCTGCAAGAATCAATGTTAGTACACAACATTTTATATTGAGTCAATTCAATATTCAGCATGATATTCTCACTCTTGACTCTTTCAAGGGATTCTTTTAGCATAATATTTTTATCTAACAATTCAAAGAATCTGCCTTGAACATCATTTCTTAAGCTATTCAGATACTTAACATGATCTCTACAAATTCCAGTTTCCTTTTCGGCTTGCCTTAGTTTTGCACATAATTCTTTATATTCATCTAAGGTTTCTAACAATAAAGAGATTAACTTATCCTTTGAGAGAGATTTCAAATAACTAGGTTGAATGACTACCTCATCATCATGCTTTGCCATTAGACAGAGATTGGCTACTTCATCGTCTGTGTGTTCCTGTTCCTCTTCTTCGGAACTTGATTCTCCCCATGTGGAAATCATTGCTTTCCTGAAATTTGTTTTAGAAAAGTTAGGCTTGGAGTTTCTGTTTTGATTAGATTCTTTTCCCTTGCCTTTCTCAGATTCCCATAATGGACACTCTTTGATGAAGTGGTTGGTGCTTCCACATTTGTGACAAGAAGACTTGGCTTTGGATTCCTGATTTCTTTTACTGTATCCTTTCTTCTTGTCTAAAAACTTGTTACGGTAGAATTTTTTCAGCCTTCTCACCAACATTGCAGCTTCTTCTTCATCAATGTCAGACTTCTCTTCGGATTCTTCATTAGCTCTTAGTGCTAGCCCTTGACTTTTGACAGTCTCCTGAGTCCGATTGTTTGACTGGATCTCGTGGGTAATGAGGGAACCCGCAAGCTATTCCAGATTGAACTTGGTGAAGTCTTTTGATTCCTGCACAGCTGCAACCTTTGCTCTCCATTTGTCATTGTCTGGAAGACTTCTTAAGACCTTTCTGACCTGCTCATCTATAGGAATTATCTTACCAAGACATGTTAGTTCGTTAGTAATACTTTTAAATCGAGTAAACATGTCTTTAATGGATTCTTTGTTTCCCATTTCAAAGCGCTCATACTGAGACAAAAGAATGTCTATTTTGGAACGTTTAACATCTGACGTTCCTTCATGTGTAACTTCCAAAAGATCCCAAATTTCCTTTGCGGATTTGCACCCTTTGACACGAGTATGTTCATCGGGTCCAAGTCCCCAAATTAGAAACTTTTTGGCAGTAGCATTCATTTCTAGTTTTTCGAAATCAGTTTTTTCATATTCATCCATAGGTTTAGGGATTACCTCATTGTTAGCATTCATTTTCGTAATTTCGTAATCTCCTACTTGTATAATCCGCCATACCTGATAGTTCTCTGCTTGGATAAAGATTTCCATCTTATCCTTCCAATAAGGATAATATTTGCCGTTGAAGTATGGAGGCCTTTGAATGGATGTACTCCCGAATTCCTTTTCCTCTGTGTAAGCCATTTTCCCAGGAACTTACTCAACAGGGTTGCCTGCGTGCTCTGAGTTCCTGCTCTGATACCAACTGAAAGTTTAACTGGCTAATACAAGAGGGGGGGTGAATTGTATTTGAGATGAAATCTAAAAACTTTTGCGAAATTTAACTAAATGAAATAATGACGAGAGAAGATATAGGCTTTTCTAAATTTCCACTATGTAATTAAACTCTTTACAAGTGAAGATTCAAACCCGTTAACAAGTTCCACAAATTAGGAACTTGTTCCCAACTCTCACAGAAGCCTTCAGCAGCGAAGCTTCCTTGACCTCACCTTACACAAACTCACAATCCCAAACCCCAAAGTGCTTCAATACAATCTGTAATTACAAATACCTATTACACTCAAGAATATATGAAGGAAAATAACTCTCTTTATGTTATTAGGTTGCTACTGGAATTTTTATTGCTCAACAGTTATGTTTTGCTGAGATAGTTTGCATGAGTATTTATAGAGAAGGCTTAGTCATTAACCTCCACTATAATCACGTCCACATGCCAACACCCCACTAACAACTTGTGGAGTTATCTTGACAGATGGTGATCATGAAGGAGGTTTCCTAGCCTTATCTCACTAATCCACTATCTCAACAACTTGATAAACATTAGCTTTGATAAAACCGTATAATCAGAGATTTTCACAACAAAGAAAACTGCTTGTTAACTTTATCAAAAGTTTGTTCAAAAAGATTTTATTTTCAAAAGGATTTTATTTGAAAAGATAAATTAATTATTTATATTAAAACAACTAGATAATTATCTTTATTCGAAATTAGATGACTAGATAAAACTTTTATAAATTATCTTTTTCCTTACGAAACTAACTTTTATTCCAGTAGTCCTTTTAATAATATAAGTCATTGAGTTCCTTTCCGACTTTATATTATTGAGTGCTCACAATTAAAACTAGAACGTGAGATTTGCACGAGGCTTTTTAGAGAATGCTACTCCGCATCCAAGTTCCTACTCCGGAACGAACTTTGCTTGAACCCTTTATTCACCAAAGACTCAAAACGTTCATTAGTCGAGTTTGTCAATTTGTCCATCAAAACCAAAAGGCTCAACACATTGGGCATGAACTCGTAAACAAGAGCTTTGAAATCGTTTCTCTGGAAATCCATACTTGAGCATGCTGTTAGTATCCCAACCAGATTACGATGACGGATATTCCTCAATGTCTCACACTCTACCATGAAACTCCTAGACCCACCTCTTTGTTGCAAGTTGAGTACTTTAATGGCAACCGTCTTTCCATCAAGCATCCCTTTAAACACAGACCCAAAAGTACCCGAGCCAAGTAGATTACTTGAAGAAAATCCATCAGTTGCTTTGAGCAGCATATCGTAGGACACTTTCAAGAATGGCTCCTTCCGTAGTGCATCGAATGAGGTAGATTTCCCTTTTTTGTTATGACGTTTCAGGTAGAGCCATATGCATGTGGCCATGACTGATAGCCCAACAAAAGCACATATTATCATTAATGTCAGCTTGAGAAGCATTCTTCTTTTCTTCCCTTTTTTCTCCACACATCTTGGTAGATGCAGCTCCAAAATTCCACCACAGAGCCTACTATTGCCATCCACTTTTATTGCACTTGTATTCGCAAATACTCCTTTAGTTGGAACAGTTCCCTCAAAATTATTGTAAGATAGGTTCAGGTATATCATGGGAAAGGTAGAAAAAAATTCAGGGATGATGCCAGAAAGATTGTTCTTTGAAAGATCAACTTCTGAAAGACTTTTCAAAGAGGCGAATGTTGTAGGAATTGAACCACGGAACATGTTATCACCCATGTACAGTATTGTAAGTTCAAGTAGGCTGCTAAAGACATCTGGAATTTCACTTATCAATTTATTTCCAGACACACGAAAATCTATCGCATTGACTTGCTTGCTGATCTCAACAGGTATGAGCCCTTCTAATTTATTATAAGATAAAAATTATCTTATAAAATTAATGGTTCAAGTATCCGATTAATAAGATGTTTTTTTCATAAAGAATTTAAAAAACTTATAACGCAATAAAAAATTTTACCTTCTTTAAACATTTATGTGAAATTTATGTCTACAATTTTAATAGACAAAGAATTTGTTAAAGATAAAGAGATCACGAGAAATTTACAAACTGATATTTAGATTTAAGAGTCAAGTGTAAAACACAACAAATAATAATTTAGGATTTTTTATTATTTTTAAAATAAAAAAATTATCTTTTTAATAGGCAATAAAATACAAAACAAGAATAAATAAAGTTGCATTAAAATTACATAAAAAAAATTATATTTTTTAATAAGAAATAACATATTAAATAAATTATTATGTATTTTTATATCTGAAAATATTAAACAGTAAAATAAATCAAATAATTATAATTAAAAACTTATAGTATATAGGGAAATATCTTTTCTTAAGATTTATGTACGAAAAACCTTCATTGCATGGGTTTTCATATAATAATAATAATAATAATAATAATAATAATAATAACAACAACAATGCAACAACAACAACAACAACAACAATAATAATAATAATAATAATAATAATAATAATAATAATAATAATAATAATAATAATAATAATAATAATAATAACAACAATGCAACAACAACAACAACAATAATAATAATAATCTGCTCTGCTTTGCCCTGCCCTGCCCTACCTGAAGCTATTAAGAATAGGGCGTTAGAAGAGAAAACCTAAAACAAGAGATAAAGCACACAAACACAAAGATTGAGGCTTTTTAGTTACTGGTAAAAACCGACGGAATTCCCTCTAATATTCAACAATGGAGGTTTGAGTACTAGATAGAGGAGAGAGAGACTAGGGTTGTTTCAATTTAATTTTAACATAATTTACATATTGTAATTGTAAAACACTTTTCATCGTCTTATATTTGGATAGTGTCTCTAATATCAAAAGATAATTCTTTTTTAATATAATTTTCAAAATCCTAAACAATTAGTAATCTCATTTATAATTACGTGGAACTTGATTTTAAACCCTCAAATCTTATTCAATAATTTTGCATATGTAATGATTCAACGTATTAATTCTTGAAAAATTTCAACTCTCCAATTTTGTTGGTTAAAATTTGATGGTAATACCCTATGTAGAGCTCTAATAGGTCCATATGTAAGAACCTATATTTATACACTTCCTCCGTTTTTTTTTTTTAATATTGCACCACTGTCTTTTAAGGAAATATCACAATTATCTATCACACAATATCTATTTTAGGAAAAAAAAATTATTTGTGTTCTGTAGGGAATATTTCAAGCATTACTCCAAACTTGAACCCCACTATGATCATACACTTAAGCATGGTGGCGTCCAAAGGGAAAGAAGATAGAGCAAAAAGAGTCGCCAACAAGTTTTAGGAAATTGTAAACCGTTCACGAGGTGAAGGTTACACCCCTTAACGATCCAGGAGATCGTCAACTCCAATAGGTTTGGAACCATAACTGGTAGTTCGGGGATGAAGGTACAAATCCAACCTAAAAGAGATTGAACCTGCCCTAATAATAGGTCTCTACGTTATTCTGATCGTATTCATGTGCGCTTTCTGACTAACATACAATCAATAGGTTTACCCTAAACCTGTTTAATCTATGTTTGTTGAATATTAATGCACAAACAAAAATATTATTGGCGATCACTTGAATTATAATCAAATTAACCCTAAACAAGATTATTAATTATCTTATTAAACGTGATTACAAGTACAAATTCTCTTTAAACATGCATAAAAGGCGTGATCAAGCAATAACAATAAAAATATATATCAAGCAACATAACAATAAAAATAATAATCACAATCACGATCACGATAATGTTAAAGCATAATAATAGCAAGATCTTAGGAATGATACTAGCAAGATTAATAACAAACCCTAGCATGTCACTAAGCAATAAAAATCAAAGCTTTAACCCTAACATGATACTAACATGAGTATTAGGAAAGAAAATAAGAAGCATCGCATGAATCACAATTGTCATATTTGATATTAGAAATTATAGTTATTACCCTAAACATGATACTAGGAAGCAATAAAACATCCTAACATGATACTAGGAATCATAATAACAACCTAAGCATGATTTCTAAATCATAATATCAATAAATCAATTAAAGCACTTACTTGGATGTCTCGTATCCCTTTCTAATAACAAAATACACGCGTTAGTAACTTCAAGGAAATTAAAAAATCAAATAATTAAATTAAATAATGAAATAGAGATTTGGGACCAAACGCTCAGAAATTAAAACCTTTCACGTCTAGGGTGAAGATAACTTCGAACTTGGCTAGGTGTTTTTGATCTTGTAAATGCAGAATTTTGTATGCAAAATGCTAGTTTAGAAAAGAGAGAGAGAGTAATCTAGAGATTCTTGATGAGAGTTGGTGACAGAGAGAATGGAAATCGATGATTATTGATGAGATTTGAATGAGAATTGATGAGAAGGATTGATGGTTGAAAACGGAGGTTTTAGGAGGTTATTTATAGAAAAAAAATCAACCGGATATGATAAAAAACGAATCAGAGTTTCGAAAAGAATAAAACACGATCTCAACGCCAAACACGCACGTGGCGCCAAACGCTAGAAATAAATTTTCACGCGTTTTCTTAATTTGATAAAATTTAGCCGTACGAGAGGGCAAAATCGTATTTTCCTTAAAAACACTTCTTTTATTCTGATTAAAACTCTTAAAAGTCAACTAAAGTCAATTTATCAATGCTAATTAATTAAATTAGGAATGAAAAGAACTTTCTAGAAGAATCTAGAAGACTATAATCAATTCTAATCGCATTAGGAATGATAAATCAATATTAGACCCTCCTCTAGATCATTGGGCCGCATATAAATATCAAATCGGGCTTAGTTTAGTAATTTGGCCATAACTTCCTCATTATTCATCGGATTTGGGCTTATAATATATCGTTGGAAAGATCATTTCAAACCCGATCCAACTACACCATTATTGGACCAAACCAAATCAGATTGGCTGATCTCAACAGATATGAGCCCTTCTAATTTATTATAAGATAAATCTAATTCAATAAACTTGGCAGATCCCGCAAAGAGATTCTTAGGCAATGGTCCATTGAAATTATTATTCGATAGATACAAATATACAGGTTTTTGCAATTTCCAAGGCTTGGAGGAATTCTGCCTTGCAAATTGTTAAATGATAAGGTCAGTGTGCTCAAACGCGGTAAATTTCCGATTGAAATAGGAATTTCACCTGTCAATTTGTTGTTATCGAGATATAATTGCTCTAGCTTTTGAAGCTTTCCAAGATCTCTAGGGATGGTTCCAGTGAGCCCAGTTCTTGACATAAATATGTACCTAAGATTAATGAGATTACTAAAATCTATAGGAAATCCTCCACTTAATAAATTTTGACTAATATCAAACCACGTTAAAGTAGTGGAAAGATTGACTACTACTCTTGGTAGTAATCCTAAGAATTGATTTTGTCCCAAAACTAGTCTATCTAATTTGCTACAATTAACCAATGCACTAATAAAAGAGATGTCACCTTCAAAACTATTAAAACCAAGATTTAGCCTTTGCAGGTTATGGAGGTGTCTAAAATGAAATTTGGAAATGCTACCTGTGAAGTTGTTTACTCTCAACTCAATTAGTTGAAGACTTGTAAGGTTTGATAAGGATATTGGTAATGGTCCTGACAAATGGTTAAAGGAAAGATGTATACGTTTTAATTGAGGAAGTGAAGCAAAAAGCGGTGGAAATCTTCCATGTAGTTGGTTGAACGACAAATCTATAAGTTTAAGGGAGGAAAGGTTGAAGATGGATGGGGGAATCATACCAGTCAAACTATTGAAGGAAGCAGCAAGAATTTGGAGACAAGGCAATGCTCTTAATTCCATCGGAAGTCTCCCATGTAGTTGGTTGTAAACCAAGGATAATTCTAGAAGAGAGGAAAGGTTAGATTGTTGTTAAATAAAGAAAGAGTTTGTAGGTTGATGCAGCTTGATATGTTGGCCGGAATTTCCCCACTTAAAGAGTTGTTGTACAAATATAGTGATTGTAGCCTAAACAAATAACCAACCTCAGGTGGAATTTGACCGTGCAAACTATTATTTGAAAATCGAATCAGTCTCAAGAAGCTTAAGTTTCCAATGAAGGGAGATATGGCTCCTCCTAAACCTTTTCTGGGTAGCCTTAACTCAACGACCCTGTTATGTCTGGGCCCACAAGTGACACCCTCCCATAAACAATGGTGAAGAGAGTGATTCCATGAGCTCAAAACACTGTCAGGACTACGGTCGATAAGTTTGCTCTTGATGGCTAACAATGCCATATAATCGGTTTCGTTCCTTCGATAATTGGTGCTATCGAGGGTATGAATTGGTGTAAGTTGTTGCATTGTTAAAACAAGGAGCAACAAGGAAAGGGTTGGTTGTATGAAAAACAGAGGATGAAATGGCTTCATTTTGTTTGTTTTAATTTCTTTGTTTTCAGGTTTTGTTTTTGAGGTGATTTCTAGCTTTAATTCCCATCTCATTATATAGAATTTTTAAATCCCCCTACCCTTACTACACGCAAAGCATATGTCCTTGTCACATATAACACAAGTAAATATCTAGTTTTTTAAAAAGCTATAAATCTTACTTCGTATTTATGAAATTGCTATTCAAGTACACCGTAACTGTTATTTATAAGCATGCTTATCAATACCTGATGAAATACTCTTTTTTGTTAAAATTATTCTTACAGCATAGCAATACTTGCCAAGTTACAAAGAAAATGAGACTATGAGAGTGTG